TAAAAAAAATTAGCCGGGCGTGGTGGTGGGCACGGTGGTGGGTGCCTATAGTCCCAGCTACTCGGGAGGATGAGGCAGGAGAATGGCGTGAACCTGGGAGGCGGGGCTTGCAGTGAGCCGAGATCGTGCCACTGCACTCCAGCCTGGGGGACAGAGTGAGACTCCGTCTCAAAAAAAAGAAATAGTATTTGTTAAATTCTGAAGTATTTTTTATCTTATCATTACTGTTTCTGTCTCCTCATATCTACTCACACAATGCCCTTTAATAGTGCTAACAGGTTACATTTTATAATACTATTAACAGATTATCTCACAGAGATAAAGCTTGAGAATTGACAGCTCATGATAATCTCCCAGTAGCAAAAGAACAATGGAAAAACAAAGACACAAAAGCAAAATAAAAACAAAGCAAAAAAAAAAAGAAGAAAGGAGGCCTGGTGTGGTGGCTCACAGCTGTAATCCCACCACTTTGGGAGGCCAAGGTGGGCGGATCACGAAGTCAGGGGAACCAGACCATCCTGGCTAACACGATGAAACATGGTCTTTACTAAACACACACACACACACACACACACACAATTAGCCGGGTGTGGTGGTGGGTGCCTGTAGTCCCAGCTACTTGGGAGGCCGAGGCAGGAGAATGGCATGAACCCAGGAGGCAGTGCTTGCAGTGAGCCAAGATCGCGCTACTACACTCCAGCCTGGGCAACAGAGCCAGACTCTGTCCGTCTCAAAAAAAAAAAAAAAAAAAAAGAAGAAGAAGAAGAAAGGCATTTTGTTTTGTTTTGTTTTTTGACATATTTATTCTTGGAATCATACCACATACTACAATGCCTGGAACACATAAAGTGCTCAATGAATGTTTATTTCATAAACTGTAGGTTTTGCTCTCTGCTAATACTAGCTACCAGACTTAAACATTAGACCAAACAAAAACAGTGAAACATTATTATTTTACATTTGGTATCTCTAAGCATTTACAATATAAATACAGGATTTACTAAAGAAATTAATGTTTATAATGAAGTAAAAGGAGAACATTTATTTACTAAATTAGTAAATTTATTTAGTAAAATTTTTGTTACTAAAATATTTTAAGCACTATACAAATTAGCTGGTCCATCAATTATAATAATTTTGAGAAACTGCTCACTTCCTGAAAATGGAAAAAAAAAAAAAGGAAGACAAAATAAAATAAAAACCAAAGAAAAAAATAGTAATTCTTACCTATTGAAATGGTCCTGGCTAACCTTTAGATATTATCACTTTGTTAGCCTAGTTGGAATCATCCAATGCACTAGAAGGCAATAAAATTACAGGTATAGTACAAGGGCCACTAGACTAGAACCTAGACTCTAGTCCAAGCTTTGCTAATAATCAGATATATTACGATGGGCGATATATTTTTTTGAGTCTTAATCTACTTCTAAAAACTAGACAGCTGGGCCGAGCACGGTGACTCACGCATGTAATACCAGCACTTTTTCACCTGAGGTCGGGAGTTCGAGACCAACCTGACCAACATGGAGAAACCCCGTCTCTACTAAAAATACAAAATTAGCCGGGTATGGTGGTGCATGCCTGTAATCCCAGCTACTTGGGAGGCTGAGGCAGGAAAACTGCTTGAACCCGGGAGGCAGAGGTTGAGGTGAGCCAAGATCACACCATTGCACTCTAGCCTGGGCAACAAGAACGAAACTCCATCTCAAAACAAAAACAAAAACAAAAACAAAACTAGACAGCTGAACTCCTAATCACTGCAAACTGTTTTAGTCTTAACTTTTTATTTTATGTTATTTTTATTTATCTGTTTTTGAGGCAGAGTCTCACTCTGCGGCCCAGGCTGGAATTCAATGTTCCATTCTCAGCTCACAGCGACCTCTGCCTCATGGGCTCAAGTGATTCTCCTGCCTCAGCCTCCCAAGTAGCTGGGACTAGAGGGGTGCACCGCCACACCCAGCTAATTTTTGTATTTTTAGTAGAGATGGGATTTCGCCATGTTAGCCAGGCTGGTCTTGAACTCCTGACCTCAGGTGATCTGCCCACCTCAGCCTCCCAAAGTGCTGGGATTACAGGTGAAAGCCACCGTACTTGGCCCTAGTCTTCACTTTTTAAAAAAACATATATTCTTACCTACAAAGAGTCTACAATTCTGATTTGTTTGTTTGTTTGTTTTGTTTGAGACAGGGTCTCACTCTGTTGCCCAGGCTGGAGTACAGTGGCCCAATCATGGCTCACTGCAGCCTCCACCTCCCAAGGCTCAGGTGATCCTCCTGCTTCAACTCCCCAAAGTAGCTGGGACTACAGGCACAAGCCAGCACGCCCGGCTAATTTTTGTATTTTTATTAGAGAGAGGGCTGCACCATGTTGCCCAGGCTGCAGATATTTTCATTGTATCAATTTCTTTTTTTTTTTTTTTTTTTTTTTGAGACAAAGATGCGCTCTTGTCACTGAGGCTGGAGTACAGTGGTGCGATCTCGGCTCCCTGCCACCTCTGCCTCCTGGGTTCAAGCAGTTCTTCTGCTTCAGCCTCCTGTGTAGCTGGGACTATAGACGCACACCACCACACCCGGCTAGTTTTTTACTTTTAGTAGAGATGGGGTTTCACCATGTTGGCCAGGCTGGAACTCCTGACCTCAGGTGATCCACCCGCCTTGGCCTCCCAAAGTGCTGGGATTACAGGCATGAGCCACAGCGTCAGGTGTCAAATTTTTGTTGTTGTTGTTGCTTATTTAAAACGGGACCAAATCAGCCGGGTGTGGTGGTGGGCACCTGCAATCCCAGCTACTTGGGAGGCTGAGGCAGAAGAATCACTTGAACCCAGGAGGTGGAGGTTGCAGTGAGCCGAGATGGCGCCATTGTACTCCAGCCTGGACAACAAAAGCGAAATTCTGTCTCACACAAACACACATACAAACAAAAAAAGGGACCGGCCGGGCGAGGTAGCTCACACCTGTAATCCCAGCACTTTGGGAGGCTGAGGCCGGTGCATCGCCTGAGGTCAGGAGTTCGAGATCAGCCTGGCCAACATGGAGAAACTCCGTGTCTACTAAAAATACAAAAATTAGCCGGGCATGGTGGCGCGTGCCTGTAGTCCTAGCTGCTCGGAAGCCTGAGGCAGGAGAGTCACTTGAACCCAGGAGGCGGAGGCTGCAGTGAGCCAAGATCGTGCCACTGCACTCCAGCCTGGATGACAGAGTAAGACTCCGTCTCAAAAACAAACAAACAAACAAAAAAACACCATGCTAATCTTCTTTGAATTGTTCCAATTTTAGTATATGTGCTACCACTGAAGCAAGTACCCAAATCTGATATTCTAAATGTGTTAAAAGTTTGCTACATTATTTGATAATCAAGAAGCTTAGGACAATTTCTAAAAATATATGACAACTAGTAACATATTATTTTTACTATCTTACATTAGGAGAGAGCAATACAAGAAAATGAAACATGAGTATCCAATAGAGGCCTGCTTTGTCAGCTGAGTTGACCTGAATCATACTGGATTTTACAGTACAAACCACTGATATGTATAAATACATATATGTGCATAAATATGTGTATGTACCATTGGTATATATTTGCCTATGTTGATATATATATTTGTGTGGGAAGGTGTGAACTTTAAAACTTTTCAATTATGAAATCAATACGAATTTATAACAAATTCAAACCGTACATTAGGTCATGTGAAGTGCAAAGTAAAAAGTCTTCTACCTCTCTTCTCCTCCATAAGTAACTACTGTTAACATTTTTATTGTGTATCCTTCAAAAAACTATCTAGGCAAATGCAAGTATACACACATACATGTGAAGGTGTGTATATAAATCTAAACTGTTGCCACTTCTTGAATGTGGGGGTGGGGGGGAAGCTCAAGTACTCCATAAGCATGTTAAATACATTGAAATACATAGAAAGTAGTACCACAGTCACTGGTACAAAGTATTATACTCTTCAGAAATGTGTGTTGAATTGAATACATTTAATTTTCATGCTTGGAGGCGATATGGAGCAACTGTGCAAAGTGATGGGCAAGAAGCCAGATAACATGGGTTCTAATTTAACTAGTTGGATAGCCTTAAGCAAGCTATGAAATCTCCCTAAGCCGTTGTTTCTGGTTTTGTAAAAGGACAGGGTTTGACTAAGATCCCTTCCAACTCTAAAATGTTATAATTCTAAGATGGCCGTCTGTAACACTGTTCATTGACTGTAATAAATATTATGGGGAAAAAAAGGAAAAGAAACACTACTGAAACCTCCAGTCTTACAAATTTCTGTGAGTCATTAAACTATCAAAGTATAGTTGTGACAGAACTAGCGACATAATTATATTTGAAAGCAAAGTAGTAGATTATTAAAATCTGATTGGTTGGGGTTTTTTTAACAAAGCTTGGGTTGACGTTTTTCCTTTTTCGGAGGTGGAGAATGCTACTGCTTAGTTTGAGAATAAACACTCCCCTCCCCGAAAAGAAAATAATTTAAGTGTTATGGAGTTAAAATAATGAAACAAAATCAAATTACATTTTGTTTTACAGAACATGCCGGAGAGGTGACTGCGAAAGCAGATTGGAAAGAATTACCAGCTAATTTCCTCTTCCGGAAGCTCTTTGGCCCTTATTCTTTCTGTTTCATATGCCCTCTCCAGACACACTCCACCCTGCTCCACACAAGCCACAGGTATCACAAGGGGAGGAAATCCCTTTGATCATATTTTTTAAAAAAGTTATTTGCCTCAATTTACCTTAGGTGTCACAGGATTTAGGAAGGCAGTCCCGCGGGCCTGAAGTCACCCACCCACTCACCCACGCCTGCCGTCGGCAGTCCGAGGAACCCGGGCAAGCAGCCGGGGCCAGGCCACCTCTGCCAGGCGGGCGCGGCCTTCCCGCCCTCCCCAGCAGCGCCGGCCCGAGGGGAGTGGAGGGGAAAAGAAGAGAGGGGAGGGAGAAGAGGGTAAGGAGGGAAAGCGGAGGAGGGGAAAGCCTACACAAGCTGTACCCACCGCGCCAGGACAGCCGGCCCGAACTGCCCCGCGGCGATCAGCTCGGTCCAAGGGGAGGGTCCCGGAGGAGGCGCGGCCCGAGCCCCAATCTGGAAATGCCAACTCCGTTCTGCGGCCTGGCCCCAGCCTAGGTGAAGGAAACGGAAGTCCCTTCGTCTCCCTCACGCGCCTCCACCGGTCTGCCCATCCGCTGGAGAAACCCGGAGTCGTGAAACCCGAAGTTTGTCCACGTCAGGGCCTCAAAGAGACACCAGGCGCTGTCCGTCAGTCTCCGGGCCCGGGCTGCGCCACTGGGCCCCGGCTGTGTCCTTCCCACCCCCGGCCGGGAGGTCAGCCTCCTGCCCTGCAAAGCCCCTCCTTCTTCCCCCCCCTCCGCCATTTTCCAACTTACCACTTGGGCCGGGCGTCCCTCGATGAGCGCCACGCCGGCTCCGGGCACCGCCAAGGTCCCCCCACCTTCCCGAACCGGAAGGGGGCAGTAAGAAAAAATGAGGCCCTTGCAACCCCTAACCCCCCCCCCCCCCGGCCCCCCTCCCAGCTGGAACCCAGAACCTGACCTAGCGGGCGCACATGCGCAGTGAGCACCTCGTACTCTCCGCCCCTAGCTCCTGCGTTTCTTCTTTTAGCCTCAAGGATGGTTTTTCCCACGGTTTTTACCTGTTGGGCCCTGGGGTTGAGGAATAGGGGAAGAAAGGCACAAGGACGGAAAAGAGGAGGAGAAGGGGCGAAAATGTTGAGTTCTTACTATAGATCAGGTACTGTGTTAGGCATATAACGTGGTCTTTGTTGTAATGTTGACAACCCTGTAAGATAAGCACTGTCTCTGGGGATTTAATAAGCCCATTTTACAAAGGAAACTGAGACCCAGAGGGGATAGCTATCCCAGTATCACGCGGCTAGTAAGGTAACTGAGGTTAGAATCGGATCTTTTTCCAAGAAGGAAAGGATGAAGGGGATGACAAGAAAAGGAGACCCTGGGGGAATGGCGGGGGTTAAGATTGGGAGGTGAAGGGAAAATTAATAGAGGAAAAAGAAAGCAGATGGACAGGAAACAAAGGAAGTCTGTGTACATAAAATGCTGAAATAAATCCTGGATTTATTTCAAATGCGTTGTAGGATTGTCAGATCAACATAGGAATTTTTGTTTCAGGAAAATGGGATCTTACAGGGTAATGTGGTGAGATGATGGATTCTGAATATTTCATTTCAAATGAAATCAAGTGATGCAAGATATGATCCTCCCTTCACAACAAGGGAACTTGGGAGGGAGGAGAGGAAAGACTTTTCTTAAAACTCTTAGTTGCATGTTTATTCTCCCCTTGGGCACCCTACCCTATCTTCTAACAAATCAGAACTACTCGTTGTGCCTGCCCCCCCATCCTCGTACACAAAGCCTTCTCTGATTTTCTTAGCTGAAGTTAATCCCTTCATGCTCTGAACTCTAGTGGCACTTCTCTAATTTTTGTTTTTGCTTTTTTTTAAGCACTGTTTTTTTCTTGTGGTAAAATGTACATGACATAAAATTTACTGTTTTGGCTGGGCGCGGTGGCTCACGCCTGTAATCCTAACACTTTGGGAGGCCGAGGCGGGTGGTTCACCAGAAGTCAGTAATTCGAGACCAGCCTGGCCAATATGGTGAAAACCCGTCTCTACTAAAAATACAAAAATTAGCCGGGTGTGGTGGTGTGCACCTGTAATCCCAGCTACTTAGTAGGCTGAGGCTGGAGAATCGCTGGAACCCGGGAGGCGGAGGCTGCAGTGCCGAGAGCACACCACTGCACTCCAGCCTGGGTGACAGAGCCAGACTCCGTCTCAAAACAAAGAAATAAAAATACATAGGACGGCCGGGCGCGGTGGCTCAAGCCTGTAATCCCAGCACTTTGGGAGGCTGAGATGGGCGGATCACGAGGTCAGGAGATCGAGACCATCCTGGCTAACCCGGTGAAACCCCGTCTCTACTAAGAAATACAAAAAATAGCCGGGCGAGGTGGCAGCGCCTGTAGTCCCAGCTACTCGGGAGGCTGAGGCCGGAGAATGGCGTGAACCCGGGAGGCGGAGCTTGCAGTGAGCTGAGATCGGGCCACTGCACTCCAGCCTGGGCTACAGAGCGAGACTCCGTCTCAAAAAAAAAAAAAAAAAATACATAGGACGGCCACGGTGGCTCACGCCTGTAATCCCAGCACTTTGGGAGGCCGAGACGGGCGGATCACGAGGTCAGGAGATGGAGACCATCCTGGCTAACATGGTGAAACCCCGTCTCTACTAAAAATACAGAAAATTAGCTGGGCGTGGTGGCAGGCGCCTGTAGTCCCAGCTACTAGGGAGCCTGAAGGAAGGAAAATGGCGTGAATGTGGGAGGCGGAGCTTGCAGTGAAGAGAGATAGCGCCACTGCACTCCAGCCTGGGTGACAGAGCAAGACTCCGTCTCAAAATAAAGAAAGAAAGAAAATTTACCATTTTAACCATTTTTCAGTGGCAATAAGTGTATTCACATGGTTGTGCGACCATCTCCAGAACTTTTTTGTTATACTTGGCACTTAAATTTGTCCCTCTATTATGGAGCAGAGTGCTTTCTGCCATGTAGTATATATGGCACTTGTGTACACACCTTATCTCTCCTATGTTGTAAGCTCATTTATGGCAAGATCTATGTTGAACTCATTTTTGTAATTCCTATTCCTCCAAAACCCTTAGAAGTCATCTTTAATTCCTTTCTCTCATATCCCACATCCAATCCATCAGCAAATCTTGTCATCTCTATCTTCAGAATGAATCCAGAATATAACCAATTCTCGACTCCACCATTATGACCTTAGTGCATCTCTCTCGGACTGTAATAGCCTTCTCACTGGTCTCCCATTTACATCCTTGCTCCTCTCCAGTCATTTCACACAATGGCCAGAGTTATCCTCATGAAACATGTCAGTTCATGGCCATTTCACTGCTCAGATCCCTTAATTGGCTTCCCATTTCCCTCAAAGTAAAAGCCACAGATTTATAATGACCTACCAAGGCTATCATAGCCACCAAAATGACCACCAATGGTCTTCACCTCTTGCTATTTACATCCCGGGGTAGTTCTCTTCTATAATGAACCAGGGCTGACTGTGTCATCAGTAGTATATGGTAGAAATGATAGCATGTGACTTACAAGACTAGGTCATAAAAGGCATTGTGGTATTTGCCTTGCTCCGTTTTTTGATTGGTTGCTGTAGGGGAAGGCAGCTATCATGTCATGAAGATACTCAAACAGCATGTGGAGGCTGGTTTGAGTGAAGTGGTGTTTACAACCAACTGATCACAACTAGTTACAGATTTCTTTCTTCCTTCTCTATTCTCACTGCTTTACTTCACTAGCCTTTTTTTAAAAACAGCAGGTAGGCCGGGCACGGTGGCTCACGCCTGTAATCCCAACACTTTAGGAGGCCGAGGCGGGTGGATCACCTGAGGTCAGGAGTTCAAGACCAGCCTGACCAACATGGAGAAACCCCGTCTCTACTGAAAATACAAAATTAGCCAGGCATGGTGGCGCATGCCTGTAATCCCAGCTACTCGGGAGGCTGAGGCAGGAGAATCACTTGAACCCAGGAGGCGGAGGTTGCGGTGAGCCGAGATCACGCCATTGCACTCTAGCCTGGGCAAAAAGAGCAAAACTCCGTCTCAAAAAAAAAAAAAAAAACAGCAGGTAGAGACCCACACAAATAGAAACAAAGTCCTTCCCGCTCCTCACCCCTTCCTCCCCCATCAACAACCAGCACCAATTTGCCAACCATGTGACTGAGCTGCCTTGGAAGAAGAATCTTCAGGCACAGCCTTCAGAAACTGCAGCCTCTTGGGACCCAGAGCCAGAACCCCCAAGCCAAACCACTCTTGAATTCCTGTGTATTATTGTCAATAGCCAAATTTTAGGGCAATTTGTTACACAGCAGTGGATACTTAATACAAAGACCCTAAACTCTGTTACTTTTATATCTTCATTTCCTACTATTCTCCTTCTTTCTTTAGTTTTCCTGCCTCAGGGTCTTTGACCTTGCTGTTTACTCTGTCCGGAACACTTTCCTCAGATAGCGTATCCTTCTCCTTCAAGTCTTTCCTTAATTGTTATCTTCTCCAAAAGACCTACAGTGACCACCATATTTAAAATTATAGTTCCACCTCCCAGCACTCCCAATCTCCCTTCCTCTGCTCAACTTTCTCCTTTTTCCACGGCATCTGTCACTTTCTTTTTTTGGTTTTTTGTTTTTTTTTTTGCTTTTGTTTTTTTGTTTTTGAGACGGAGTTTCGCTCTTGTTGCCCAGGCTGGAGTGCTAATGGCACGATCTCGGCTCACCGCAACCTCCACCTCCTGGGTTCAAGCAATTTTCCTGCCTCAGCCTCCCAAGTAGCTGGGATTACTGGCGTGCACCACCACACCCGGCTAATTTTGTATTTTTAGTAGAGACAGGGTTTCTCCATGTTGGTCAGGCTGGTCTCAAACTCCCGACCTCAGGTGATCCGCCCACCTCGGCCTCCCAAAGAGACGAGCCTGGCCAACATAGTGAAACCCCGTCTCTACTAAAAATAGAAAAAAAATCAGCTGGGCATGTTGGCTCATGCCTGTAATCTCAGCTACTGAGGAGGCAGAGGCAGGAGAATTGCCCAGGAGGCAGAGGTTGCAGTAAGTCAAGATTGGGCCATTGCACTCCAGCCAGGCGGGCAAAGCGAAACTCTGTCAAAAAAAAAAAAAAAAAAAAAAACAAGAAAAAAAAAAAAAAAAGAAAGGCCGGGCGCGATGGCTCATGCCTGTAATCCCAGCACTTTGGGAGGCCGAGGCAGGTGGATCACGAGGTCAGGAGATCGGGACCGTCCTGGCTAACACGGTGAAACCCTGTCTCTACTAAAAATACAAAACAATTAGCTGGGCGTGGCAGTGTGCGCCTGTAGTCCCAGCTACTCGGGAGGCTGAGGCAGGAGAATGGCGTGAACCCGGGAGGCAGAGCTTGCAGTGAGCCAAGATAGCGCCACTGCGCTCCAGCCTGGGTGACAGAGCAAGACTCCGTCTCAAAAAAAAAAAAAAGGCCGGGCACAGTGGCTCACGCCTGTAATCTCAGCACTCAGCACTTTGGGAGGTCAAGGCGGGCGGATCACCTGAGGTCAGGAGTTTGAGACCAGCCTGACCAACATGGTGAAACTCCATTTATACTAAAAACACAAAAATGCGTGGTGCCAGGTGCATGTAATCCCAGCTACTCGGGAGGCTGAGGCAGGAGATCACTTGAACCCAGGAGGCGAAGGTTACCGTGAGCCGAGATTGCACTATTGCACTCCAGCC